CAGAATTTCCAGCCGGTGGAGAATTTCCCTTTTTTTCCAACAATAGATCGCTTGTCTGAATCCGTCAAGGAGATATACTGAAATTCCAATATTTCAATACCTCATTAAAATTATGAATAGATCTCCCCCCCAGATTTTTTTTTATTCGGAGACTATATATATATATTTCTTAGAATTACGTTTTTTTTTTTTTTCCCTTTTGTATTTGGAGTTTTTCAAAGGAATAATGTTTGTTGTTTTGATAGGGTGAATATGCGTGGTCGTGAGAGAGACTGGAGGAGAGAGAGAAAAAAGAGGAAAAAGTAGGGGATTAAAATGAGATAGAAAGTAATGCGAATAAAATGAGATAGAAAGGAAGCGAAGATAAACAGAAGCAGAAGGAGAGAGTGAGAGAAAAGAAGAAAAGGAGGAGGAAGAGGAGACGGCGGAGGAGAAACAACTTGCTGCACTTACAAAACTCTACGGACTTTGATACCCAAATTTCAGATCGTCTCTCCAAAAAGATATAGTTAAAATAAAAGTAATAATAAAATAGTAATAATAAAATAGAATAATATATTAATAATATAGTAATAATTTCATGATTAATTACAACTGGAGAAAGAAAGAGAGAGAAGAGCGCAAGAGAGAGAGAGAGACAGAGAGACGAGAGAGAGAAAGAGAGAGAGAGAAGAGAGAGAGAGAGAGAGAGAAGAGAGAGAGAGAGAGAGAGAGAGGAGAGAGAGAGAAAGAGAGAGAGAGAAAGAGAGTAGAGAGAGAAGTATATGGCTTTTGACCGCATTGCAAATGGTACCACAGCTTGCCCACGCCCGTTCAGTTAGCCAGGGTGGTAAATAAAGGACTTAAACTAAAATCGCTCCCAAGATATAGGAATATAGTATAAAATCTCTCAAAAAAAAGGATCCAGGAATATAGTATTGCAAATGAAACGCCTGAAGTTCATGGTATAGTATGGTATGTAAAACTCCTTTTTTGGAATGGAAATTGACGCAAAAGTGTGGAAGAAATTTTGTTTTCCAAAGTTTCTACAACTTCAGCATCCAAGATATTCATAAGTGAAGAAGATTCTGGTTTAGAAAGACGGGGACAATTTATCAGAACTTAAGTTTAAGAATTTCATGTTCTAGTAATATGATTTATATCTTACGGTGATTTAAAGGCTAAAAAAAAGAACAAAGACATTTCAAACACAAATCTAAATCAAAAAAATAAAATATTTGTATATATCAATATCATAACAGACAAAAGGCAAGAATCCGTTATATAATTACAGACGAGTTAATAGAAGCCAAACGTAGCATCAAATTGATTTAATGATATCCGATAATGGCGTGTGATTTACATAATCAAACACACACATTAGCACAACCGCTATTTTCATTTATCTAGAAATTACGTAGTGAATCTAACCAGTTTGAACAATAATCGACCAGGGTATTTGTATAATGTTGTGTGTTCAGTAATAACCCAAAATCTGTGTAGATTAAGGTACCTAATACCGGTATAACATTTTCAAAAATATGAAGTCTAAATGTACACAGAATTTTTGGGTAACTTTTCCCTTTTTCTCTCTCTCTCTCCGTTTCTTTCTCTCCTTTCGTTATTTTTCTTTTTTATTCCTTTTCATTTGTTTTCTCCCGATAATGTGAAATTCACTTACGACAAATATAGAAGCATTAGGACCTCTAGGATGCCTTCGTATCATTGAATCAAATCTGTTCTGTAGTTTCTGAATTATACAAAAAACTTACAAAGTCTTTTTTCCTCTTAAACTAGAAACTATTCTATCTAAATAATATATAATGGATATAATAAATATATATGATGGAAAATATAAAAGTAATCATATATAATAATAATAATAATAACAATAATGATAATAATGAAAATGATAATAGTAATAATAATGGTGGACTGGATGTGATACGATGATAATAATAATATATTTCATACGGTATTACTTTCATTCGTCTTTTTGTTACCTGTAATTAGAAAGTAATTATGCTTATTTTACGACATAATGTGTTACATGTTTGAAATTTTAGGTTTTCATATTGTTTTTGTTTGTGTGTGGTTGTTGTTGTTTAGACAGAATGGGAGAGTGAACTGAGAGAGAGAAAGAGAGGGAGAAAGAGAGGGAGAAAGAGAGAAAAGAGAGAGGGAGAGAGAGAGAGAGAGAGAGACAGAGACAGAAGACGGACAGAGCACGAGACAGAGACAGAGACGGAAGAGGCAGAGGCAGAGGAGAGGCAGAGGCAGAGGCAGAGACAGAGACAGAGACAGAGACAGAGGCAGAGGCAGAGGCAGAGGCAGAGGCAGAGACAGAGCCAGAGACAGAGACAGAGACAGAGACAGAGACAGAGCCAGAGACAGAGACAGAGACAGAGACAGAGGCAGAGGCAGAGGCAGAGGCAGAGGCAGAGGCAGAGACAGAGACAGAGACAGAGACAGAGACAGAGGCAGAGGCAGAGGCAGAGGCAGAGGCAGAGCAGAGACGAGACAGACAGAGCAGAGGCAGGGCAGGAGGCAAAGAGGCAGAGACAGAGACAGAGACAGAGACAGAGACAATGAGACGAGACAGAGACAAGAGACAGAGAAGAGAACAGAGAAATGATGATAGATAGACAAGAGAGAGAGAGAAAGAGAAAGAGAAAGCCGAGAAAAGGAAGATGAGAGAGGAAAATGACAGCGTAATAGAGATGAGGGTAAAGAGATTATATTACCAG